TTGGATGATTTCTTTTTAGATTGATCAATCGTTTGATATATTATATTTCCGATTAGTTTTGTTGTTGGTATGTTGGTTGATATTTGCAATGGATTGATTGATTGATTGGTTGTTGGGTTGATAGATTGAATTTTCGATTGGTTGGTTGATTGGTTCGTTTACCGGTCGTTTACTTGCTTGTAGTAGTGTCCCATAATAAGGACTGCTGAAGTTCTAATGTTCCTATGTAACAGGTTAGAACTTTAATTGACCCAATTTTTTGAAATAAATGTTTACGTATTCCCATAAACTATTTTATAAATTATTTGTCTATCATCCAAATTACATAGTAGCTACAATGATTATTCAGGGTTGTAATAATGATTGATAAATACTCTATAATTCAGAAATAAACTCGAGAACTTTAAAGCAGCCCCCCCCCCCCGCAAAAAAAAAGAATAACGAGGGCCTGAGGTAGCGAAGGGCTCGAGCACTCTAAAACACTTTCGCATAAATAATTAATAGAACATTTCTTGCAACGTTAAACAATTCACAGTTTATTTTAAAAAACAATCTTAGAACCACTAGATTTTATTCAGGGGAGGAATGGAAGTGGTGACGTTAAACAATACGCTGCATGTGATGAGGAATTTTTTATTTTGATAAGTTTCAATGGCTGTGATAACAAACGTGCTTTGAATCGGCTTGACATGAATCCACTGATATTGATGTTATATGTAACATGTCTGGAACATTTTTTCCGTTTTTTTTTTCTTCATCATTTATTAATTGAATAATGATTACAAAGAAAACCCATAATTACAAAGATTACAAAGAAAAACACATAAATTATCCTTATAGCAAAACATTAATTATACGTTTTTTTAACATAATTTAATTTATTTTTCCAGAGGTGATACTTTTCAACATCTGCCCTCCAAAATATTTCTTTAAACAAAAATTTCGAATATGTTGTAAAATTACATTTTCTGTTTTGTGTACATGTATATAAAACTTAAGAAGCTATAGACTGATTTATATCACATTGCCTGCCTAAAATCATATCACTGTAATCTATGTTTTCATCATATAACAATACTTCTGCTTTTCTTTGAGAAAAATTAAGACCTTGTGCCAAAATAATCACAATCATGAAATATATGATAATAACCCACAAATATTCGGTAATTTTTAACCAGCCGTTGAAAAAACGAGATAGCGCCTTTTACGATTTATTTCAGCTAAGGCCAATGTTGGCTTTTTCGTGTTGGTTATAATACGCACAACCAGCCGGTCCGTGTATTTTTACTATTAAACGGTCACCGTATTTTTGTTAAAGTGGAGCTGAATTGGTATGATCTTATTTGATTGTAGTTGGTCTAAAATTACCTTTTTAGCAATTTAAGGTTCTAAAAGGGCACTAGAAATGTCATAAATAAAATATCAGGGTAATAACCATGCAATTTAAAGACATTTGGGGTCTTAAACAAGAATTCAACTATCCCTTTAAAGATGCGATGTCGCAATCGACTGCAATTGCAGTCACTGACGTAACAAAACGTTGCAATAAAGACACCTTGCCGAAGGAGAGATCACAGTGCATTGCGAAATAATATTTGAAGCCCCTGGGGGTTCATTATATACGGACACTTTTGATTGACTGATGGAATAAACACAACTGTTTTTCTTGCGTAATGAAGGAACGTTACAAAAAATGGATCATTTCTTGTCATAAATTAAGAGAGGAAAAGAAAGTGAATAATTTTATCTCCCTTCACATCGGATAAAATGTAGGGAATCTAAAGCTTGGTCCAAACATTTCAGCTGTTTCAGATCATGTTTCGAACAAGAAGGGCATCAGAAGGGGCAATATTTAATGGGGCTTTTATTCTAATTCACTCTTCCAAACTGAGGTAGCAATAATGAGAAAGCTCACAATTTGATTCCCTCTTCACCAGATTCCAACTTCTCTTTAAGCTCACATTGTCGCAATCGACTGCAACTGCAGTCACTGACGTAATAAAAAGTTGCAATAAAGACATCTTACCAATGCGAGATCACAGTCCATTGCGAAATAATATTTGAAGGACGGTAAAATCCAGATACAATCTCGCTAGAATAATTCTCAGGATATCCATTTAGGAATAGAAGGCGAATAATGTTATCTCCCTTTGCATCGGATAAATGTAGGGAAACTAAAGCTTGGTCCAAACTTTTCAGCTGTTTCCGATCATGTTTCGAACAAGGAGGGCATCAGAAGGGGCAGTATTTAATGGGGCTTGTATTCTAATACACTCTTCCAAGCTGAGGTTTAGCAATAATGACCTCCAGGGACGTCGCCAAAAGGGGGGGATGTGGGAGGGGGTGCGACACCCCTCCACCTGTCAGGATATTGTCGGTAAAATTGCGCTGCCGTCGGGAAAAAAGAGAAAAGGGGGAGGGGAAAAGAGAGGGAAAGGGAAAGAAAAGAAATAAGAAAAGGAAAAGAAAAGAAAGAAAGGAAGAGAAAGGAAAGAAAGGAAAAGAAAGGAAAAGAAAGGAAAGAAAAGAGAAGAAAGAAAGAGAAAAAAGAAAAAGAGGGAGGAGAGGAAAGAAAGGAAAAGAAAGAAAAGGGGAAAAAAGAGAGTAAAAGGGAAACGAAAGAAACGGGGGTGAAAGAGAGGGGAGAGAGGAGGAGTGGGAGTAAAAGAGAGAAGGGGGTTGTTGGGTGGAGTCGTCTCGTCGAGGGATCAAGAAAGACACGGGCAAATATGTTGCTATGTCGGGTCAGCTGTGTCGGTATTCTTGCTCGATCCTCGTGTACTATATCAATGCAGAAGTTTGAAGTCGGTGAGATGTATATTGTAGGTCGGCCGACAAGTTTTTTTTCACTATCGGCGAACTGTGACTTTTTATCCACTGTGACGACTTCAAGAGTGACTACAACTACAATACTTCTATTTTCTCGAAGTTTCACTTTCCTATAATATCAGGTAAAGAAATCAGAGGTTTAAAATTTTCGGGGAAACTAAATTCAAACAATGTTTAAGGGGCCAACAACGGTACGACGAATCGTCTTTCTTTCTCTATATTGTGATGAAACGCCCCCCAAAAATCCGCGCTTCGCTCGGAAGGGGAAAACTGAATTCAGAAAAATAGGGCTTATTAAGAGTCGAAAACGGTACTAACGAATCGTCTTCTTTCTCTAATAATTTAATAAAACGTCAAAGCTTCCGCGCTTTGCGCGAGAGGAGGAGAAACTGAATTCAGAGAATTAGGGCTTATTAAGAGTCGAAAACGGTACAACGAATCATCTTCTTTCTCTAATAATTAAATGAAACATCAAAATTTCGGCGCTTCGCGCGGGAAGGGGGGAAGCTTTATTACGAACAAGGATTAGGATCCGATCATGGTTCAACGAATCGTCTACTTTCTCTAATAATTTAATGAAACGCCAAACCCTCCGCGCTTCGCGCGGAAGGGGGACAACTGAATTCAAAAAAGGATTAACAGTCGAAAACAGTACACCAAATAGGGCTTGTTAAGAGTCGAAAACGGTACAAACGAACCTTCTTCTTTCTCTAATAATTTAATGAAACGTCAAAGCTTCCGCGCTTCGCGCGATGGGGGAAACTGAATTCAGACAATTAGGGCTTATTAAGAGTCGAAAACGGTACAGCGAAGGTGACACGACATTTGCTCCTGCGACAATTGCTCCGGGCTTTATTTCGTCTAAGATGTAGGGTTAGGGTTAGGGTTTCAATAGGGTTTTATGTAAGGTTTAGGGTTAGGTTTAGGGTAGGGTATAGTGTTGAATCCAGGGTTGAAGTTAGCCATTCGATTAGTGTATGAAATTTACAGCGGAGCAATTGTCGCCGGAGCAAATGTCATGGAATCACAGCGAATCGTCTTCTTTCTCTAAGAATTTAATGAAACGACATAACTTCCGCGCTTTGCGCGAGAGGAGGAGAAACTGAATTCAGAAAAGGATTAACAGTCGAGAACGGTACAGCAATTAAATCGTGTTCTTTTCATAATAAATTAATAAAACGTCAAAGCGTTCGCACTTCGCGCGGGAGGGGGGGGACCTCATTTAGACGAGTCGAGAACGGTACAACGAATCGTCTTCTTTCTCTAATATTTTAAGGAAACGTCAAAGCTTCCGCGCTTCGCGCTAAAGGGGGAAATTGAATTCAGACAATTAGGGCTTATTAAGAGTCGAAAACGGTACAACGAATCGTCTTCTTTCTCTAATAATTTAATGAAACGACATAACTTCCGCGCTTTGCGCAAGAGGAGGAGAAACTGAATTTAGACAAGGATTAAGAGTCGAGAACGGTACACCAAATAGGGCTTATTAAGAGTCGAAAACGGTACAAACGAATCGTCTTCTTTCTCTAACAATTTAATGAAACGTCAAAGCTTCCGCGCTTCGCGCGAAAGGGGAAACCGAATTCAGATGAATAGGGAGTGGAGTCGAAAACGGTACGACGAATCGTCTTCCTTTCTCTACGCCCAAAATTCCGCGCGAAGGGAGAAAACTTCATTTAGACGACTCCAGAACGGTACAACGAATCGTCTTCTTTCTCAAATAATTTAATGTAACGTCAAAATTTCCGCGCTTTGCGCGGAGGGGAAAGCTTCATTCAGACAAGAATTAGATGATTAGAAATAATGAGAAAGCTCACAATTTGATATTCCCCCTTCACCAGGTCCCAACCTTCTCTTTAAAGTCGCGATGTCGCAGTCGACTGCAACTGCAGTCACTGACGTAACAAATCGTTGCAATAAAGACACCTTTCCAGGGCCAGATCACAGTGCATTGCGAAATAATATTTGAAGTCCCTGAGGGTATATTATATAGGGACACTTCTGATTGGTCAATAGAATAGAGACGCGGGCTCTGATTGGACAGGCGAGGTAATAAGTTCTCCGGAAGTGCATGGGCGTAGGGTAATTAATGCATCTCGTCTTGTTGCCCTATATAAAGATATCATTAGTAATATATCTTCAATTTTGGGGGAAACGAAACACTTTTATAGATGCATTTGTTCATCGATTTCTATTTCAATTTGAAACATAAGAGTCTTGATAGACTTCTTTTGGCATCATCTGGAGCAAATTGTATGCACAGGTAAGAGAATATCAATGCATTCTTTTTCATTTTGTATTCATATAGGCGAAGTGAAATCATTTCTTGTTACCCGTGAAGATAAGTCGACCTTTAATGAAGAGACTTACCATTTTATTTCATATTTCATATTTCCCTGAAATTGGGGCAGTCTTTTCAATAATGGTATAAATGATCTATGAAATAGAAAGTGATAGAATAGCCTTATCTTTAGGGTTCTAGTATCTTGTATCTAGTACACTGAATTTAAACTCTGTATGAAGTGTCTATTATTAGAAAGACGCCATAATTCGTTTTCATCCTATAAATCAAAGCAATTTCATTTATCTTTTATTTATCATTGATTACACACTATCTCATCAATAAATTTTAATAGATTTTTACTCCAGAAATTTGAGTTTTATCAATTATAAATTTGAAAAAATTGTTGTTTTTTATTTTATTTTTTATATTATTATTTTGTTGTTGTTGATTGACTGAGCAATCATAGAATCACTAACTACCAAAACCATTGATAATGATGTTATTTTTTACTCCTATCAACAAAGGCCATTTTTTAGAGCTTGTAACTTAAAATTACTTTCAATAAGTATTGTGATGTGATTTTGAATTTAGATACAATCTCCCTAAAATGATTCTCAGAATACCATTTTTTTAAAAATAAATCAAGGGTATTTTTAGCTTACTAATATGTTGAAAGCAAATATCAATAGAAAAATTACAGAAAGGTAATGATTATTACGAAAAAATATGAACCTTAATTGGAGTTAGATAAAATGACATATTCTTTTTGTCACAAAATAAATTGTAAAAGTGGGACTTAGAACCTTTAACGGGCAGTTTGAATGTAGGCCTATATGATGACAATGCAGTTAACCTTGTAGCCATAAACTATTTGTACACTGTCGCTCATAAAGGTGGAATATTTTAGTTTTATCCAAATTTATGGAATTATTTTTAAAATAATTTAAAAATAATAGATCTAGATAATAGTATACATTCTCAGATTTTATTGAACGATAATTTGCCAATGTGTGTTTTGTGTGACTGCTAAAGCATGTGTATGCTACTATGCTTATCAACTAGGGGACCTATGCCCTTAAGTCATAAATGACAGTAATGAGGATTAATGCCCCACAAAAGGGCACTAACATAGCACATCGATACGGTTTTGATCCTGGGGCCTCACAGTTAGGAGGCCATTGCTTTGTCACTGAACCATGACTGTACGCAACGGGGGATAGGGTAGGGGGCAGTTTCCATAAATAAATTTTAAAAAACATAGAAAATGCAATAAATTTTCAATAATTTATTGCATTTTACCCCGGTTCCCAACATAAACAAATCTTCTGTGTGCCCATGCCCTGAGCCATAATGCATGGCCGTCCTCATTACTGTCATTTATGACTTAAAGGTAAAGACCAGTTATGGTCATGCGATTGTATTGTGAAAGAAACGTTGTGGAATCGATCAGAAAAGGATGATCATCTAGCATCTAGCATCTGCAAGGTTCTGGAATCATCAAAATGATAAAAATTTGGCCCATTCTTCGTAAAGTTACAAGCACTATACACAGAAAGATGTATATGGGACTACCCTATATGTCTCACAGACCATGAGAGAAACAAATTTACTAAATATATGAATTAGTAGGCGATTTCCCGGCAAATTTTTTATCACCATGTATTAGTCAAAACATATTCTTTCACATGATTGGTAATGAGAGCTTCCATTTCATTTTTTGAAATTGGGGCGTTTCCAATACTGGTCTTTACCTTCAAGGGCATAGGTCCCCTAGTTGATAAGCATAGTAGCATACACATGCTTTAGCAGTCCCGCAAAACACACATTGGCAAATTATTATTCAATACAATCTGAGAATGTATACTATTATCTAGATCTATTATTTTTAAATTATTTCTAATATTTCCATAAATTAGGGTAAAACTAAAATATTCCACCTTTATGAGCGACAGTGTATTTGTTGTCTTTACTTGCTTAAAAGACTTAACAGACAGTTCTCACTACCTCTCTTTCCCATCCCCTCTTCTTTGAAGCTTGCTTCGAATCATCGCGTCATCGCGTCGGGTCGGGTGGTCGCGTTACGTGATCTTCCGCTTTCGTTTCACAAAGTCGTGTAACGCGACCACCCGACCGGACGTGATGACCCGATGGTTCGAAGTGAGCCCTTCTCTTACAACCTCATTCTGTAATCGCTTCATCTTCTACTTTCTCATCCTATACAATCGTCTCATCACTACATGCTCCCTTGTCCTCCATTCCTTCTCTCTCCCTCCTAGCACACTTAAAGATTATGATAAATCTGGGTCCACAACCATAACTTCTGGCTGTTACTTGTCATATTTCAAATATGAGAGCATTTTAAGAGTAATCCTTTGAAGGGGGTATTTTTCTATGATGCTCTTACACACTAACAATCAAAAAAAGAATATAAAGATTTAACAAATATGTTTTCACATTTCCTTCAAATCAACCTTCTCTTTAATTTTTTTTTCCTCGGTACGCCCCTCATCCCCAGTTACGTTACGCGTACATCACTTTGCTCGCCAATATTAATTTTGTACGGTCTCTAATTTTCCTTTAATGAATGTAAGACGTGTTTTCTACAATTTTGCAACTTGTACAGATACAATATGTCTTCGAGTCAGCCTGAATCACAGGTGAGAGCTGGAGCCGACCGCATGGGCTACGGACCCGATGGAATTAGGCCTGGTTCTGCAGCAGCTGATCATATGTCCTCAGAAGCAAAACTGCATGGTGGCAAAATCCCATCAGGAAGCCCGGTCTCTCATATGCAGTCCTCCGGGAGCAAGGGCCAAAGCTCTAAAGGCGGAAGCAAGGGCCAAATCACAGAAAGGTAACGATTATCACGAAAACTTATGAACCTATATTTGAGTTAGATAAAGACATATTCTTTTTGTCACAAAATAAATGTTTTAAGTAGGACTTAGAACCTTTAACGGGCAGTTTGAATGTATATGATGACAATGCAGTTTTTAACCTTGTAGCCATAAACTATTTGTATTTGTTGTTTTTTCTTGCATAAAAGACATGTATATCTCAGTTCTCACTACCTGTCTTTCCCATCCCCTCTTCTTTGAAGCTTGCTTCGAATCATCGCGTCATCGCGTCGGGTGGTCACGCTACGTGATCTTCCGCTTTCGTTTCACAAAGTCGTGTAACGCGACCACCCGACCGGACGTGATGACCCGATGGTTCGAAGTGAGCCCTTCTCTTACAACCTCATTCTCTAATCTCCTCATCCTATACAATCGTCTCACCACTACATGCTCCCATGTCCTCCATTCCTTCTCTCTCCCTCCTAGCACACTTAAAGATTATGATAAATCTGGGTCCACAACCATAATTTATAGCTGTTACTTGTCATATTTCAAATATGAGAGCATTTTAAGAGTAATCCTTTGAAGAGGGTATTGTTTCCATGATGCTCTTACACACTAACATATCAAAAAGAATATGAAGATTAAACAAATATGTGTTCACATATCCTAGAAATTAACCTTTTCTTTAAAATGTTTTCCTCTGTATGCTCCTCACCCCTAATTACGTTACGTCTACATCACTTTGCCTACATTGATTTTGTACGGTCTCTGATTTTCCTTTTATGAGTGTTTTCTACAATTTTGCAACTTGTACAGACACAATAAGTCTTCGAGTCAGCCTGAATCACAGGTGAGAGCTGGAGCCGACCGCATGGGCTACGGACCCAGTGGAATTAGACCTGGTACTGCAGCAGCTAATCATATGTCCTCGGAAGCAAAAAGGCATGGTGGCAAAGTCCCAGCGGGAAGCCCGGTTTCAAAGATGCAGTCCTCCGGGAGCAAGGGCCAAAGCTCTAAAGGCGGAAGCAAGGGCCAAAGCTCTAAAGGCGGAAGCAAGGGCCAAAGCTCTAAAGGCGGCGGCGGTGGCGGACGTAGGAAGTAGACTGGACATTCGGGACTGGTCAAGATATCAATGGTTGATCGAGGCGAACTAAATAGTCATTAAAAAAACATTATTGACGTACAATTATTATTTTGATTCCAATTTCATCCCATCATGCCTGTACCCATGTTAAGTAGCATAAGCCTAGTAGGTGTGGGGTGGAGGGGTTCAAGGAGGACCAGCTAGCTCCTCCATTGATTGTTGACGACTAAACATATATCTACATTTGCTGGCTGTATCTGACGTGCATGTCACCCACGTTCGGTCTTCGCCGCCTTATAAAAAAAAACCTCATATGATTGACGCCTCGGAGTAGGCTAAGTCTAACGCTAATAAAAAATGCATTTAAAGGAGGTTATTTTTATTCAAGGAACTCCAGTCTACTCATTATTTTCCCTGAATTTTAAAGGAATAAAAGTAGCCTTTAAAAATTTGCAAAGTTTCCCCAGGTTTTCATTGGCGAAATGATAGCAAAGGTGATGATGATGATGATGATGATGATAATGATGATTTATTGTGCAGTGCTCTACTTTCAATGTTGCTCGCCGAAAAATTTAATTTCTTTCTTATTATCCTTCGTTTCATGATGTTTTTCTTTCTAGAACGTTGTCATTTCGAAAAGTGCACCAATTGCGGCATTATAAATGACGGCACGGAGGCCAAATACCCTTTAATTTCCAATATCAAAATATGTCTTTCAATGTGCAAAAACAAGTATATGTATTCGTATTCGTGTAAAATGTAAACGATAAGGCCTACAGCTATTGTGTAATTGCAGTAATGACGTTTAATTGGTCCTTCAGTTAATATTAAAATATGACCTTTAATGTACAGTACAAATTGTTTCATCCTTACCCTGTCTGTTTGATTTAATTCTAATAAAATGTCCGCAAATTTGAAAAACACTTGTTATCATGTACAAAACCATGCGATTGGGCCTACCCATTTGTAAAGAGTAAAAGATTAGAATGAACAAAAAAGAAATTGTTTGGTTAATCAGTTATTTCGTTTGTCCGTTCTAGTTGCCCGTAACGAATCAAATACCTTCAATTTTCTCCCTCTCTCTCAATTTTTTTAAATTTCATCTGTCAATGAGTATCTGTAATTGTCTAATATTCTACATTAAAAGCCTCGAATGAAAGAAAACACATTATAGCCTATTGATTATCATTTCAATGTGTAATTTTTTTTCGTGAATTGTGAATTGCCTCAATGCGGATCATCCAATGGTTGATTGGTTTGCATTGTGATTTCTTGACTGAAATATTTATTGATTGAATGACTGAAAGGTTGATTGAGTGAGTGATTGAGAACAACTATTTCCTTCAATACAAGCTGGACAAATACAGGACTGAAACATATTCTATAACGCCACCCCTTGGACAGTGGCGGATCCAGGGGTCCGCCTTGAGAAAAAAAATAATGTAAGAACACGTGATTTTTACCTTTTGGGGGGGTTCAGACCCCCCCCCCCAAAAAAAAAAAAAAAAAAAAAAAAAATGTGCTCACTACCCCCCCCCCCCCCCCCCCCCCTCCAACTGAGCGACTTTTCGGCCAGCACGATTTTCAAATTTTCGGACCAAAAAAAAATAATTAATTGCAATTTGCCCCGACCCATAACATAAACAAATCCTCTATGTGGGCATGCCTTGAACCATAATGCATGTCCCTACAGAGGAATTTTACCTATTGGGGGCCGGGGGTAAATGCAATGAATTATTTGTCATTTATTCCATTTTCTTTCCTTTTTTTTTGGTGGTATTTGTGGGGGCGGCGACGTACAGTGTACCCTAGCCCCCGCTGTGTACAGTTATGATTCAGTTGCTTAGCAATGGCCTCGTTACTGTGAGGCCCCATAATAAAAACAGTGGCGATCAGCTATATTAGTGCCTTTTTGGGAGGCATTAATCCTCATTACTGTCAGTTATGACTTAAGGGCGTAGGTCCCCTAGTTGATTAGCATAGTAGCACACACATGCTTTATTAGTCAAGCAAAACAAACACTCGCGAATTATTATTCAATAAAATCGGAGAATGTATTTATTACTATAAGGAATAATCATTGTCAAAAATCGTTCCATAAATTGGGGTAAAAATAATTATTCCACCAGGCGCGTGAGCATGGGGGGGGGGGGGGGGGGGTTGAACCCCCCCCCCTCCTTTTGTATTTTTTATGTGTGTATTTTGGAGGAAACCCCCCCCCCCCCCCACCCCCCACCCCTTTTGGTAATATTTTATTTTTTTTATTTTTTATTTAATTTTTTTTTTTTTTTATTAATGGCTGATCTAAAAAAAGTTTTTCCCTCGTAAATACGGATAAAAAACGTTGTTTATAATTTATCTCCCTTTGCATCGGATAAGCTATAGGGAATTTAAAGTGTGGTCCAAACCTGTCAGCTGATTATCATGATGTTTTGAACAATAAGGGCATCCGAATAGCCAAATTTAATGAGACATTTATTCTTCCAAACTGACGTACACAAATAATTCCCAACCTTCTCTTTAAAGTCACGGTGTCGCAATCTATTGCAACTGCAGTCACTGACGTAACAAAATGTTGCAATAAAGACACCTTGCCAGGGCGAGATCACAGTGTATTGCGAAATAATATTTGAAGCCCCTGGGGTACATCATATACGAACACTTCTGATTGGTCGATGAAATAAAGACGCGGGCTCTGAATGGACAGGCGAGTTAATATTTCTCAGTAAGTGGGCGTGGTGAATTGGATGCACCTCGCCTTGATGCCCTATATAAAGACATCCATAGTGCAGTCAAGACAACATTTTGTATAGCTGAAAGAGGTCAGGGAATGTACGGCGGGTGTAGACACTTTGAAATTCTTACATATATTTTTACATCAATTTCTATTTCAACATGAAACAAAGCAGTCTTGGTAGACTTCTTTTGACATCATCTGGAGCAAATCGTCTGCACAGGTAAGAGAATATCTATGTATTTATTTTCATTGTTTTATCTTTATATCAGCAAAGTAAAATCATTTCTTTTTTCCCATGAAGATAAGACAACCTTTAATGAAGAGACTTTCCATTTATTTCATATTTCATATTGCCCTGAAATTGGGGTGGTCTTTTAATTAATGGTAAAAATGATTTATGAAATAGAAAGTGATGGAATAGCCCTATCTTTGGGTTCCAGTGGTTTATGACTGTATATAAAGGAGAATTAACCTCTAGACTATGAAGCATTAAGTAGAGAGTAAACCAACGTTTCATATGATGTAAAGAGCATTGCTTTAGGCCAAATAATATCGTCTTTCAAGTACAATATAAAAATCCTAGTTCGCCATATTTACGACATCGTCTGCTTCCCAAGGAAACTGTCATTTTGTCTTCCCTTCAAAAACTTCCGGGTTGTGACGTATATCGCACGGAGAACCGATGTAGCGCAGCGCGCACGTTATTATGCAATACACTTCAAACATGGTGTACTGCCAAATGTTTGGTTGTAATAAATGTTCCTCGAAAATCAAGAGGAAATCGTTTTATTGGTTTCCATAATCACACAATCGCGATGAAATATTCGAGATATGAGTAGTAGCTCTACGGTGGAGAAATATCTGGACAAAAAAGATTACGACAAGAAAAACAGTGTGATCTGCAGTGATCATTTTACATTTTACAGCAGGGAAACGTACGTACGCAATGGCGACTCCGTGCGATACGTCACAGAGCGCCGGGCGTGCGCAAACACAATGGCGACTTTCTAAAGATTCTCAGAGCCGCGAAAGACGAAGCCGATTCTGAAAAAAGTTACGTCCTCCCTTTCGTCAAATATACGATGTTTTTATATTTTTAAGATAATGTTTCAAATGGCCTACACACTGAAATGTAGTTTGAAGTTAAATCTCCTTTAACCTTCTCATAAAGAAAGTGTCTATATTTTTTAAATCCATAATTCGTTTTCATCCGGCGATAAAGCATAGCCACTTGATGTATCTTTTTTTTCAGTACGGTGATTATATAATTTCTCATTATTCAATTTTTTCAAGAAATGTGAGTTTATTAGTTATCAAATATGTAAAATTATTTGTTTTAAATTGACGGAGCAAACATAGAAACCATTGAGAAAAAAGCTATTTCTTACTCTTGTCAACAAAGGCTAGTTTGTGGAGCTTATTTTCAATTATTTTGCAATAAGTGGTGGGGTGTGATTTTGCATCCAGATAAAATCTCGCAAAACTGATTCTCAGAATACCGATTTTTTTTTTTTAAAGATCAAGGATATTTTATCTTACTGCAATAAAAAAAATTAACACTAAGATATTAATAAGAACGAAAAGGTTTGATAAATATGTTTTCACATTTAATACCTAGAACTCAGCCTTCTAAAAATAAGTCTCTGTTTGCCCCCCCCCCCCCCCCAATTCAATTTTCATCATTTTGCCAACATGTGCACTTCTTTTTTTCAACAATTTTGAAACTTGTACAGATACAATATGTCTTCGAAACAGCCACCATCACAGGTGAGCGCTGGAGCCGACCGTTTGGGCTACAGTTCCGGTGGAATCAAGTCCGGTACGGCCGCAGCTGACCAAATGGCCAGCACTGCGAAGGATCACGGTGGCAAAGTCCCAGCAGGAAGCCCGGTCTCTCATATGCAGTCCTCCGGAAGCAAGGGCCAAAGCTCTAAAGGCGGAAGCAAGGGCCAAAGCTCTAAAGGCGGCGGCGGTGGCGGACGTAGGAAGTAGACTGGACATCATTCGGGACCGGTCAAGATAACAATGGTTGATCGAGGCGAACTAGATAGTCATTAAAAAAAATATTGACGTATAATTATTATTTTGATTCCAATTTCATCCCATCATGCCTGTACCCATGTTAAGTAGCATAAGCCTAGTTGGTGTGGGGTAGAGGGGTTCAAGGAGGACCAGCTAGCTCCTCCATTGATTGTTGACGACTCAACATATATCTACATTTGCTGGCTGTATCTGACGTGCATGTCACCCACGTTCGGTCTTCGCCGCCTTATAAAAAAAAACCTCATATGATTGACGCCTCGGAGTAGGCTAAGTCTAACGCTAATAAAAATTGCATTTAAAGGAGGTAATTTTTATTCAAGGAACTCCAGTCTACTCATTATTTTCCCTGAATTTTAAAAGAATAAAAGTAGCCTTTAAAAATTTGCAAAGTTTCCCCAGGTTTTCATTGGCCAAATGATAGCAAAGGTGATGATGATGATGATGATGATGATGATGATAATGATGATTTATTGTGCAGTGCTCTACTTTCAATGTTGCTCGCCGAAAAATTTAATTTCTTTCTTATTATCCTTCGTTTCATGATGTTTTTCTTTCTAGAACGTTGTCATTTCGAAAAGTGCACCAATTGCGGCATTATAAATGACGGCACGGAGGCCAAATACCCTTGAATTTCCAATATCAAAGTATGTCTTTCAATGTGCAAAAACAAGTTTATGTATTCGTATTCGTGTAAAATGTAAACGATAAGGCCTACAGCTATTGTGTAATTGAGGTAATGACATGTAATTGGTCCTTTATTTAATATTAAAATATGACCTTTAATGTACAGTACAAATTGTTTCATCCTTACCCTGTCTGTTTGATTTAATTCTAATAAAATGTCCGCAAATTTGAAAAACACTTGTTATCATGTACAAAACCATGCGATTGGGCCTACCCATTTGTAAAGTGTAAAAGATTAGAATGAAAAAAAAAGAAAATTGTTTGGTTAATCAGTTATTTCGTTTGTCCGTTCTAGTTGCCCGTAACGAATCAAATACCTTTAATTTCCTCCCTCTCTCTCAATTTTTTTAAAATTTCATCTGTCAATGAGTATCTGTAATTGTCTAATATTCTACATTAAAAAGCCTCGAATGAAAGAAAATACATTATAGCCTATTGATTATCATTTCAATATGTAATTTTTTTTTGTGAATTGTGAATTGCCTCAATGCGGATCATCCAATGGTTGATTGGTTTGCATTGTGATT